CCTTACTAGCTGGGACTCCTTACTAGCTGGGACTCCTTACTAGCTGGGACTCCTTACTAGCCAGAACTCCCCACAAACTTGATTGGCTCTGTATTGCTAGTTTCAGCAAGACTCTGGGCATCATCACCTGACTTCCTCTGGCCCCAGTCCAGCTTTTGAATCTCACTGCACAGTTCAAACCAAGGAGAGCTACCTCTGAGCCATTGTGGGACTGTGTACAATCCCTTCCACACGTGGTTTTGGTTTTGTTGCTTTGATACTGGGTCTCAGGTAGCTCAGGCTGACTCCAGCTGTTGCTACGGATGACCTTGAACTTCTGACCTTCCTACCGCCACCTCCTGGGGTTGCTCCACACCCGGTTAGTGCTGTGCTGCAGCTCCAGCCCAGGGTCTATTCCCGTGTGCCAGGCAAGCGCTCTGCTAACCAAGCAACGTCTCCAGCCTACCATACTGCAGGCCATTCTTTTCTTTTTCCTGAGACAGGGTTTCTCCATAGTCCTGGCTATCCTGGAACTAGCTCTGTAGATTAGGCTGGCCCTCAAACTCACAAAGATCTGTCTGCTTCTGCCTCCCTAGTACTGGGATTAAAGGCGTGCGCCACCACTGCCCGGCAGCTCCCCCTCTCTTGTGATGCTCAGGGTGGTGTTGATCTCATCTCCATAGGATCAAAGTCACAGGAGACCCTGGAGAAATGCCTTTGAGATACATCTAGAGGAACTGGTAGGCCTGCCCACCCATGGGTCTGCCTGACCTGTTCCTGACCTGGGCCCTCCAGAGACACCGAGGAGGTAAAGCATCCTCCAGATGCCCCCAAAGAGCATTGCCAGTGACCCAAGTGCCCCAGATTCCACTCCAACCAAGACAAGCCCCTGGGCCACACCTCCCAGGGGAGCCAGGTCAGGCTATTTGTGGCAGCTGCTTCTCCTGCCTGTGCCTGTCCACTGTGCGGGAGTTGGTTTCTGACTCATCCCCGCTTTCAGCTCCCTTGGGGCCAGAGAGACGCTGCTTAACCTTGACCCAGCTATTCTGGGAGGGTTCTCTGCATCGGCACCGACTAGCTCTGTCTTGCCTTGTGTTTGTCCAGCGATCTGGGGAGGAGGCTAGAGGCACAGCCCGGATCATCTTACCTGGAAATTCTTCAATGGGTATCACTTGAGGAGATCTGGGCTTGAGCTGGAAAAGTGTGGAGCCCTTGACTCGGGAGGGGACGGCAGCCGAGATGGGCACAGCTTAGAGAGACGAGAAACAAGTGCTTACACCTGCCATGGTCATCCGCCAGGGCAAGCCACTTGTGTGGAACCATGGAGAGGCTAGACCAAGACTTCTGAGTGTCTCGGGCTGGCGCCAGGCAACCCTGTCAACCATTCGCATTTGAGGCAGGGAGAGACCACATGGCCCTTGGGTGTGGAGTGAGAGTCCCAGGTTGTGGAGTTCCAGGTTGAAGCACCTTGTAGCAATGAGTGCATCCCCACAGCCTCTGGTCCCCCGAAGACACCTACCCATTTGCTGTACCAATCCCCAAACACTTTCTCCCTCTCCTAACCCCCCACTCTAAGGCATTTGCCGACATTGAAAGATATTTGGATGACAGAAAGCAAGTATCACCGCCCCTCTGCTCTCTCCCTCTGTCCCCAGAACTCCCCTGGCCATCAAATTCTGGGTCTAAACCTGGCATTAAATACTGCATCTTGGGGCTGGAGAGGTGACTCAGTGGTTAAGAGCACTTGTTGCTCTGGTAGAGAACATAGATCAGTTCCCAGCACCCATGTGTCAGCTCATAATGCTCTGGACCTCCAGTTCCAGAGTTCGAGAGCGTCCACACCCTCTTCTGACCTCCATGGGCACCAGGCACGCAGGCATACACACACAACTATTCTTAAATAGTTTTAAGACTGCACCATCTTTCCTCTGAGGGCTTCTTTCTGTTCCAGCTACAGTGGGTCCTTTACTGTCATTGGGTGTGACTCACAAGTGCCATTTAGTCAAGAATGCAGGCAGCTTTTCCCTGCCTGGAATCCCACCAGTGCTCAGCCCCATTCTTAGAGGTGAGCATTCTACTATCACAGAGACATTAGCCTCTGTACTTCCTTCTAGGACTTTCTGGTCCTTTAGTGGGGCCAGAGCAGGAGCTGACTAGTGTATTCATCGCCAGAGAGGATCGTTGATTGAGGGACCGACCTCTAGGCTGTAAGCTAAAGCTCCGATCATCCCGAGTTGTGAAAGAAACTGTCAGCAGAGGGCGCTCAAAGCCTGGCTCATTCATCCCCGGGCTGGAGGGGCGCTTGAGGTGTTTGGATAGGGCAAGGACAATAGGGCTGACAATAGGTCACCTGGGGACAACTGAGGACAACCTTCCTTCTTGAAGAGGCAAGCGAGCCCATGAACATCCAATGTGACTAGAGATGAGTCCCCTCTCTTGGGTGTTCCCTTGCAGTGGGAGAATAGTGCTCTTGACCTGGTCCGGGGGTGGGGGTGGGGGGTTCTACATAGCTCACAACCTCATGTAGCTGCCATTGTCCCCTGTTGGGCTGTCTTTGCACCAGGCCTCTCCTGCCACCTTTATTTATCCATAGTCACCCCTATTCTGAGCCCTGTCAGCTGCCCAGGTATCCTGGGACCCACATCGTGAGGAGGGAGAGGGCGGTTCCTTCTCCATACTCTGAAGCCCTTGGAGAAGGTTTAGCGATATCACTACTGGCTTCCAATATGGGCAGGACTGGGAGGAGAGGTGAGAGTGGCTGCCAGGTCCTTTACCTCTTTGCTTTAACTACTGAGTTCTCTTTCCCACTACTTTCAGTTCTCGGTGCCCCCTCCTACCCAGGCCTCCCATATAAGTCTGCCACCCCTTCTACAGAGGAAGGGGCCCGAGGGTCTAAGAGGGAGCTTCCAGAGTCTCAGACCCTGCATAGGCCCTGCCCCCATACCTTCTGCACTGGTGGACACCTGGGGCCAGAGGGAGCTATCACCAAGTGGGGCAACAGTAGGTGGCTTGGTCTGCCCTTGAGAGGAAGAAGAGAAGAAATCAAGTCACGTGAGGGATGGTGTCCCCACCCTCCCAGAGGCCCCTGTAAGAAGTGACACTCCACGCTCCGTCAACATTGGCCAAAGGACTGGGCTCCATTTCCGCTACAGAGGTGCGTCTGTGCTATTGCAGCCTGCGGAGGGTATGCATGCACACACTTGAAGCCTGATGAGAGGAGGCCCCCATGCCTGAGACCCCCATGCCTGAGGCCCTGTGGGCTGTGGATAGTCCTTCCTTCTCTGGGACACTGCCTGCAAGGACTCTTCCCTCTTTCTGTGGTTTCTGTTGTGACTGAAGGGCCAATCTGAACAAATCCTATGTGTGAAACCTTAGGCTAGTGCAGTGCTGGTGGACAATGTCCTGGCCAAGGAGACAAGACACGTTGAGGAAGGTTCTAGAAGGTTCCCCAGAGTGTCCTCCGATGTCTAACTCGCCTTTCTGATCACTACCCTTCTACCCTCTGATCCCTGGACTGAGGATCAGGGACCTCATCGTGGCTCACCAACTCCCCGCCCCAACCCTTCAGTTCCCAAAGCTGCACACAAAGCAAGGAACATAGTCGACAATCACTGACAAATTCAAAGGACAGAACTGGGAGAAGGTTGTGTGTGTGTGTGTGTGTGTGTGTGTGTGTGTGTGTGTGTGTGTGT